CCTCATGCCAGGCCGCTGGACCAGCTGCCAGGGTCTGCTTGCCCCATGACCTGGCCCAGCTGGGGCCCCATTCAAGGTGAATGGGGCCCTGGCTGGGCTGAATCTTGGGACAATCCCCACAGTGAAGGAGGGAGTGGGGCAGCAGCAGGGGGTGAATGATTTGCCCCTGTCCACTCCCTCCTGCACTGTAGGAGGTTGGAGTCCCACTCCCTCCCTCACCACTGGGGTGGGGGGAGCAGATCGAGGCCCCCATGGGGAGGGAGGGAACAGGCCAGGAGCACTCACCCTAGCCCCTGCTCCTGCTCGTGTCCTGCTCCCTCCCTCACTGCAGGGGGCCTTGATCTGCCCCCTCATGGCCCTTTCCCCTCCTCCTGCCCTTCCCTCCCCAGACTTACCTGCTGGGGGGTTGCATGTGTGCTCAGCCCCGCAAAATTTTTTCTCCCTCTGCCTATGCAATGCCTGCCCCTGCTCCAGCCCCAACCCCACTCCCTCCCTCACCACAGAAGCCTTGATCTGCACCCCACCCTTAAAAACAAGAGAAAAAAAATATAAAGGGGTACATGAGCTGAATCTTTGAGACCAAAAGGGTACACTTGTTAAAATGTTGAAAATCCCTGTCCTAGTCTATTAAATGTTGAGGGCTGAGTCATGTCTTTGGAAAAATTGTTTCATCTACGCTTGTAGTCAGGTCTAAACCTTCAGCCACAATCTGACAGAAATCTGAGGATTCTAAAACCACACAAAAGTGGAGCCCTCTCATCAAGAGCAGCTCAATTTCAGTAACAAAGCTCTCACTCACTGAGATGGAATGTAACAGCTGTATGTCAGCACATTCTGCCTCAGTGAGGGACAGGAAGCATGTTGAACTGCATGCCTTTAGGGAACTGCAAAGGGAACTGTAAATCTGCATTTTCTTGGTGCTGCTGACATTGTTATAAAGGAATATAACCATTCAATTCAGGTGGTATTCTTGCATCTAGCCTTTTAAGCCTGTAGGACACTTCCAGGCAGGTGTGCTTCAGATTTTAGAACAGATACAATTTTATTTATGACAAGACATCACAACCGAAGCAAATGCCTGCTAGTTAAACTAGCGAGAGAAAGGAAACTGGCAGGTACATGCTAACCCTGTAAAAGGACTGCCATGCTGTTGAATCAAACCGCTTTGCAGTTGGACCATGAAGAAGGAATTCTATTGTCAAGCAATTGTAAAACCAGAATGCTCCACCAAGAAAAAAAAAATTCAGGGCTCTCTCATTTCCCTTCATGCTAAAGATACAAGTGCTTGCATCGCACAATCATGAATGGTGACAGCCATGATCACATGAATTGCCCCATTACATTTACTGGACACCAGCATATTCAATAACCAAAGAGGAAAGTGCCTTTTATTCCTACTACTTACCATTGCAAAGGATGGCTCGGCTCAGTCCTAGGGCATCTGCTGTCCCAGAGCTCATGTTCTCCACCAGCCGGTGCTTCACTTTCTTCAGCACTACAAACCAAGACAGATTTGCAACTCAGAACTAGTGTGGTTTTCACAGTCACAAAGAACACACTGAACAGAACTCTCAAGCGTCCAATTTCACACTGGTCAGACAGAGCCTAATTCAGCAGAGCTTAGAGAGGAAGTGAACGGAGAGAGAATGCCACAGAAATTAGATACGAGGAAGATCTTAGCATAGGCAGTGCAGGCCTATAATAGATTCTCCTGAACTATTTCCCAAGACTTGGGATCATATCTTGATTAGCGTACTCATTTTATTAATTCCAAAGAAGCTAGAAGAACAATATAAGAGTACGGCAGGTAAGTTTTACTGCTCAGCTAAATTTCCATTTACTAGGTTTTATCACCTGCCAGTTAGTTAAAAGCTCCTGTACCCTTTCTAAGGAATACCACTGCCTTTTGGTAGTAATACCCTTTAAAATTCCTGGAGACAATTACAGCCTCTTTGAAATTATATGACTGAACTACGTGTCTTCAGAGACAACTGTTCAGCTGCAGTTCCCACTAATGTCAGCTGAAGACGTGGATATCCAGCACTCTGAAAAATCAGACCTGGCTTTGCTCTTATTTTTCCTCAGAAATTCATTTCCCAGCTAACTTCCCTTTGGTTTGTCAACACCTTCACTAACAAGGGGGAAGGAAACCAAGAATTAAAGAAATAGGTAAGTGGGAATGCACTTTGCTTTTTGTCCTGTTCAGGTTCTCCAAAGGGCGGGAAGGTGGCAACATTTAAAGAGGACACTTATATAGGTCAAACTCCCTGTTTAGGTTTTGTTAAAAAAAATAACCCGAGCCATATAGCTATACAGAAGGCAGGGTAGGAGGGGTCACTTTGAGAGACTAACTTGTTTGAGAAGATGAGTTTTCGTAGGCTACCGCCTACTTTGTCAGACACTGGGGATAGAGTACACATAGCTGTACAATATGGAAAGGAATGCTCTTGTGAGTCTCCGAAATGAGAAACCAGAAACAGCATTTTGGGATTGAAACTTTTCAGTGCACAGTTGGAAATCCAAATGCACCCGCAAAGACAGTATGTATTAAAAAAACAAAGCAACAACAAGCAACACTGTACTTCACTGTCTAAACTAAGTATGATACAGAAAAACAAGCTACAACAATGATGAGAATCACGTTATCATTCAGAACTTTTCTCATTTTGAATAATGCACCATTCTTCATAATATTGAGACATTTTTAGCCCATGGTTTATCCTGACAGTGTTAATTTTAAAAGCATGAGAATTAAGAAGCAGCAATGAAAGAAATTTTATTTTGGTTTCAGCTCAGATTTCTCCATTACCCTCTTCACAGCTTGCCAAACATGGCAACCTTATGAGCAAAGGACAAAGGCAGTGCATCTCACCAATGTCCAAGGACTTGCCCTGCTTTGGATCGGCTTGCAGTTTGTTGTAGTGAATTGTCACTTCTCCCTGGAAGAAAAAGCAAAGCCTGAGGTGTCATTCTGGAAATGAGCAGTGGACATCACCTCTACTGCTGGACAAAAATTCATATACAGTGAGCCAACCTATTCCACTGGTCCCCTTCTACCACTTACCTTTACTATCTGTATCATTTTGGCCACCTCCACTTTGGTTTTCCCTTTGACTGACTTCCCATTTACTCCTGTTATTTCATCACCAGCTGCCACAGTTCCATCTAGAGCTGCTGGAGTGTTATCAAAAACCTGGGGGACAGGAAGAACAGTAGAGGAAAATGCAAACGAGTAAAGAGGGGAAGAAGAACGAAGCAATTAACAAAGACAGTAACAAAGAAGAAACAATTATCTTCCTGCTAGTTATTTTCTTGCTCCGATTTTGTCAGTTCGGTTTATGAGGAAGCCCCATTTCCCCTTGCATCCGAACCCATAACTGTAATAAACCCTCAAAGAAACAGAGGTGGACTAATCACCCAGTTCCTTCTTGGACTGTCATCTTCATTTTGTGTATCATCTAGGGCAAAGTTTCCTGAAATTGAGAACCTCACATAGAAGGTGCTGCTCTGTCCCATCCCTGTACATTTTAACATGCTCTCAGCACTCAGTAGATATACTATAGGGAGGATATGCTAATTCAGAAGCCCTAAATTTATCCTTCCACAGTTTTATCTACCCATCTGAGACATTCCTATTTGCGAGAGAGAGAGAGAGAGAGAGAGAGCGCGCGCGCGCGCGTGTGAATACTTCACAAGGTAACTAAACCTGAAAAAGAAGGTTCTTCAGGCCTCATTCAACCCTCATCTCTCACACCTGACTTTACTTTACAAAGATTCCTCTGCCATGAGTACTCACCTGTACAATATAGAGACAGGGACAGTACTGTGCTCCTCCCCCAATGCTGATCCCAATAAGATTCTGAGAGTCCTTCTGCAAGGTTACAGTCCCAGGAACAGTGGGGATCCCCCTAGAACAACAGGGAGAGACAAGTAATAACTAGCACAGGTAGGCAGAAGCATACCTGCATCTGCATGTAATATGCTGGAGACACTAGAATATGAAAGCACGTCCCATTCCTTTCATCTGAATACATCATATTATTGCTCATTTTACCAGCCTAGATTGCAGGAACCTGCACAAATAACATTTAGATTTTGGTGGGGAAGGGGGTTGCGGCATAAAAATATGCTCCATGGGTTGGATCCAGCCTGCAGTCCCATGGCTATGCCCGGTACACACACTACACAGGGCCAGTTCCAGCACTACGTGTGGCACATGGGGTGGGTGTGGTGAGCGCTGAATGCATGGCTGCACCAGACTGTCACTACATGCTGGATTTGACATGCCAGGCCAGTCTAAAGACCCATAATTTGGCCCAAAGACCACCCCTGTGCTACAGACCTGGTCCCCAAAGCCCAATGAGTTAGATACCCCTGATTTAGATTTGTGTGCGCAAAGTCAGTAAGTTAAACTAGAGACTAATGGTTATGCATGTAATGATGGTCCGGCTCAAGGGAGCAAATGCCATGTTGGGGAAAAACTATGCCCCCTCCTTCTGTCATTGGGAGCAGAAAGTGTAAGGGAGAAGAGGCGTCCACCTTCACTGGATTCTGTGAAACGTACCTAAGATGCACAAATATTTTCAAAGTCATTTCATCAGGTCTGTGTCTGAGAGTTATGTAAATAATTATGCAGCAGAAATAAGATGCAGCTGACATTTAGCACTAGTCTCACAATAATAACTGCCTGTATTTTCCTCCCCCATAACTATTTTTCCAGTGGTTTCATGTCAGGTGTTTTCCATCTCCCTTTCACAGACCTAAGAATTCCACATTCTCCATTTCTTCCTTGGTACTGCCCTCTTGTCAGTATAAACCACTCTGTAGGTAAGGTCTCCAGATAAGAGAACATTATCAGCAAGGCTTGCAATCAGAAAGGTAGGTGGAGTCACTACAGAGCAACAGAAAACATATGGTGCTGTTCACTGCCACCATAATGCTCCATCCCCACTAGCCAGAAGGAGCGAGTAGTTGTTAGAAAGAAAAGTGAAACACTCACAGTTTATCCTCTTCGATGTCATAATCCAAATCTGAAAACATTGCTCTGGCTGGATAGGGACGGTGGCCAAGAAACTCTGTTTATCCCAAACCACCTAGATAGAAAGAAATGGAACAAAATCCAATGATTCCAACAATCTCAATTAGTGGTTTCTTCTATCCTTAACAGCTAGAATAGGAGAATCAATCTGTGTCCTCGGTTGATCCACCTCACTCTTTTCTAGTTAGGGACTGGAGCTCTCAGTTTTCTCTTCTGCCGTAGAAAGAAGTTATTTCAAACTGTCCCCATTTAGTGCTCACAGGAAACAAAAAGAAAAGGGTCTTATTTTTATCCTTTAACTTCCAATAGCTTTCTTGTTTCCCACAGCCACAAAGATATGGGCGCTGCTCAGGGCAGAACAGGAACCATTTGGGAAGCAGATTCTTTATGTATTGCATCCATCCCATGATATTTCTCAGCAGTGTTGAGGTGATGTTGTTGCCCTGATGGTCCCCCCACAAAAATGCGAGTAGAATGAATTCTCGTGGATGATATCTTTTCTTGAACCAACTGCATAGTTGGTACAGACTCGGGGGTGGGCAAAATATGACCTATGGGCCGGATCCAGCCCGCCAGGTCATTCTATCCGGCCCGTGGGGCCCCTAAAAAGTTTAGAAAATGTAATATTTATTTGTTCCTGGCTGTCTGTCAAAGATGACAGGAGCCAGGGGCAGCAGAACCCAGGGGAAGCCGACAGCAGGACCAAGCAGCAAGGCCCCCCCAACCAGAAGCCCCTACCTAGCAGAGGCTTCTGGCCTGGGATGGTGGGGCTGTTCCTGCTGCCCTGCACTGGAGAGGGAAATGCGGCCTTTGACAACTTGACAAAACTTGGTAAGTGGCCCACCACCCAAAATAACTGCCAGTCCCTGGTATAGATGCAGGCAAGCTTTCAGGTATCACCCTCAGGAGTGAGGAAAGGTACCGTGATAACTGAAAGCTTGCCTCTATCTATCCCAACCACTCAGTTAGTCCAATAAAAGATATCGCATGTTGCCTCTCTCAGTATTTCTCAGCAATCTCTGGTGCCTTATACCCTGCACCCACTGAGTACTTCAGCTTCTTGATCCTGTGACAAATGGCTCTGCCTGTCACTGCCTTGTTTTTGTTTGGTAGGGAAGAAGTAGTAAGGGAACAGTTTTGCACACCAACTATTTTTTCATGCAAGGTATTCCCATTTCCAATAAATGACCTTTCCCAAACTTTCTGCCCCTCCCTCCTTTTTGAGCACAAGGGGAACCAGCATTTCTCTCTCTTTATCTTTCCTGTCATTCTTATAGTTGGATGACATGGTGACTGGGAAGCAGGATTAGAACTGGCCAGAGGGTTTGCTTTTTTATGAGCAGGCAAGTCATATTTGGGGTGGGAGGTGCAGGAGAGGGAGTGGCATTTTGGGGAGTTGGCTGCTGTTTGCTATCTGTGTGCTTTGTGCCTGTTTCCTGCAAGTGGCCTCAAGCCTTGTGGATACAGTGGGATATAAACCCAAGTATAACTGTTGTTGATAGAAGTAGTGGCAAATACTGTACTAATGTTCACAATTACAAAAATTAGAAGTATAATATTATACTTCTAACTAACAATACAATAATGTAATATATAAGAATTCAAAAATAATAGTCATATGGCATCACGGAGAAGCAGGACTGGAAGGGACCTCCAGAGGGCTCCGAATCCAACCCCCTACCTGAGGCAGGATCATCCCTCTCCAAACTATCCCATACAAGCCATGATCTAAATTCTACACAAGACTGCTGCATTTGTAATTATCATTAAATATAATGTTGTAATAAAATGTAGTATAATAATGTAATGCAACAACAACAATAATAATATATTGCAAGCACCATTGTTCTTGTAGCAAAGCAAGGCTGGAAGGGAAATCCAGAGGTCGTCTAGATCGGGGTTCCCAACCTTTTTTGTACCAGAACCCATTTGTTAACATCCAAGGCCAGTCCCAACCTGCTGCCCCCATGCCCCGTGTGTGGGGCAGGGGGGGCATGTGGGGCGGGGGGACCCCAAGCAGCCTGGATCTCTGCCAGCCTACACGGGCACAGCCACGGTTTCCCACGTTTTTCTCCTTCAAAGGAAAACCCGTGTTTAAAGTTCCTTCTTGACCCTTTCATGTAATCTTGTGACCCACTTTCGGGTCTCCACCCTCGGGTTGACAAACACTGATCTAGTCCGACCCCCGACCTGAGGCATGACCATCCCATGCAAACCGTTACTAACCCCCGCACCAGACGGCCGCGGGCCCTGACAGCACAGCCCTGCCCCTCCCCTGCGGCAGCTGCAGCAGGGCCCGCGCAGCCCCTGCCCCGCGGCGATGCACTTGTCAGCGCAGCTCACGAGCTCCCAGGCAGATCCTCGCCCCCAACCCCTCCAGCCGGGACTACGGGTGACTCCTTCCTTCCTGCCCCACGCCCCGCAGCGCCCCCCGCTGGCCCCCCGGGCGGGGCAGGGTCCCGGCTCTCACCGGAAGTGGCTGGCTCCAACCCGGCCCCGCATCCACCTGCCGCCACCCCCGCACCTGTCAGAACCCCGATTCTCCACGTCACTTCCGCGCCGCATCGAAAGCCGAGCCGGCTCAGTCCCCACCCGCTTTGTTGGGAGGCGGGGGGAATCACAAAGGGGAAGAGAGCCGGGGTTCGCGCACTCCTGTCTCGCGAGAGTTGAGGAACGCGAGGCGCAAGGAACTGGGGGGGGAGGAAAGGGGTAACGTGTGAGTGCAGGTTGCCATGGCGACAGCCAATGGAGAAAAGGGCGGGCCGTGTTGGGGGTTCGGGCCTTGTTGGTGGCCATGTTGTGGGGGGCAGCAGCTGGGCCGTGGTGTCTCTCACGCAACACACTCACACACCTCCTACCTACCTGCCCTCCCCCAGTCTCCTACCAAACCCTGAGGATGCCCCACGTCCGACCACCCAATCAGCCCAAAGTGAACACATCCCCACTGAGAGGAGGTGCGCAGGCAGAGGCAGTTGTCAGTGCCAAGTGGCACGTCTGACCCTGTAGGTAGGGTGATCAATCTCACAGGCCAGGACCGGCCTTCACAGACATGCTATCTGCGGTCCAGGGCTGCCCAGGGGTCCAGAGCTTTGGCAGCCGGGGTGCGGTGGCAGTTGACTGCTGCTCCCCTGCTGTCAAGTGTCCAGTAGACCCCCACAGCACCCCCCATAGCTGTGGAGAGCCCTGTGGGCTGCAGAGCATGCACTGGATTGCGCAGGCAGGGCCCATTGGGCAGGTGCAGGGCTGGGCTGCGCAGACAGAGCAGCACAGGACTGAGCTGGGCCGGGGGAGGCAGCACAGGCCAAATCCTGATACTCAAGGCCGGGTCCCGCCCATGGACTAGCCCTGAGCCGCTCATCTGCCCTGTGGGACCAAACGCCAGGACACCACCAGTGCTCTGACTCGATCTTATTTGGTTCGTATGAAGTCAGCGAGACATCATACAGGCTCATACAGCTGACCACTTCTCTGTTTTCTGCCACCACAGTAGCCGGTAGGCTGTGGCATTAGGTGCTGATGGATCTGAGACATCCGGCACCCGTGAGGACACCCGTTGTGGATGCAGGGTGATGCCCCGGAGTTCTGACAAAGAGCAAGGCCTTGTCCGTTGCAGAGCATGTGGCAAATAAAAGACATCAAAAAAGGTCCTGTCACAGGGAGTTTTCAGAAGAGGCCAGGCATGATGCAGTGATTCTGGGCTGATGCTGCAGAGGCAACTTTCCAAAGGGTTTGGCATGGCAGAAACTTATGAGAAGCAACGTTTGAAAAAAAAAACCCCCATAAACCAACCTTTTTAGACACGAGGTACTTCTTGATAGGCTCAAGGTAGCCCCTTGTAAAATTCCAGCTCCTAGTTTGACTACAGAAAAATAATAGAGCAGTTTTTCTGACCACAATAGGTCAGAATGTTTTTAACTATGGATTCCATCTTAGAAATCTCTGGGTTTATCTTGTGAATCATGTTTGCACACCTAACCATGGTATTGTTGCATGGCACCCTGCAGCACCCCTAAAACGATCTCAAAGTAGAGAACCGCTGCTGAAAGTAAACTCACTCAAATGGCCATTTACAGAGTGGCATTGTCGAGCTTTTGTGCAATGTTCCCATTCAGAATGCAGAAGGGTTAGTGGTCAGATGTTTCAAGACTTCTACCTCTGCTGAGAGGGTTTAATAGTTGAAAGAATGCTTTGATTTGGTAAAAGTATACAGTGGCCTGTTGTATCACATGTCATTTCTTCCAGCCATTGACGAGCTTGTGAAGAACTCCAAAGCTGCCCAACCTGACTTCTTGACGTAAAACAAAGTAGAAATATGCCCTTTGATGAGGAAAATCTTCTCTGTCCAGAAATGAGGATTTGCCCAGAAGGAATTACCTCTCCCTCAATGAGTGTATAATATATTTCTTGAGCCTAAGAACCGTATTAATCCAAACACTTGAAAGTGAAGTCACCTGTGCTGCTGCAAGAGGAAGTGTGCAACAATATATTGTTAAGAACACATGTGAAGTTCTAGATATGAGAATCATGAGTTATTTTTCAAATTAACCAGAATAAAAATTAAGTGCTTCTGACCAGAACCTCATCTCTCTGTAGGGAAGCCAGGGCAAAACCTTGCCCCTTGAACTCAAAAGTAGGTTTGCCGCTGATTTGAATGAAGAGGACAAGCTGGCAATACAGGCTGATCTGGACAGGCTTGCAAGGTGGGCGGATCATAACGTGATGAAACAGAGAAATGTAAAATGCTCCATCTGGGGAGAAATAATCTGCAACACATTTACAGGCTTGGCAGTGCTACACTTGCCAGCACTACAACTGAAAGAGACCTGGGGGTCCTGATAGACCACAGAATGAACATGAGCCACCAATGCGATGCCGTAGCTGGCAGAGCGAATCAAACATTGGCATGCATCTACCGATGCATCTCGAGCAAGACTAAGGATGTCATCCTCCTGCTTTACTCAGCCTTGGTGAGACCGCAGCTGGAGTGCTGCATCCAGTTCTGGGTGCCGCACCTCAGGAAGGATGTAAGAAGCTCGAGAGAGTCCAAAGGAGGGCTACGTGCATGATTAGAGGTCTGGAGAGCAGGCCATATGAGGAGAGGCTGAAAGACTTGGGACTGTTCAGCCTGAAGAAGAAAAGACTCAGAGGGGACTTGGTGGCAGCCTATAAGTATATTAGGGGCGTACATCAGGGCCAGGGGGAGCATCTGTTTCCCAAGGCACCCCAGGAGAAGACAAGAAACAATGGGCACAAACTGATTGAAGATCACTTCAGATTGGACATAAGGAAAAATTTCTTTACAAGTCAAGTGCCAAAGGTCTGGAACAGACTCCCCCCCAGAGGTTGTACAGTCAACCACCCTGGTGATCTTCAGAAAGTGTCTTGATGCCCAGCTTGCTAGGGTCATTTGACCCCAGCAATCTTTCTTGCCCAAATGCAGGGGGGCTGGACCTGATGATCTTGTAAGGTCCTTTCCAGCCCCTAACATTTATGAATCTATGAATCTATAAGTCAAGATTTCACCTCTAGAGCCAATGAGCCAGATCCTCAGCTGATGTAGGTCTGCATTACTCTGTGAACTTCAATGGAACTAGGCCTACTGATGAGGTGGCCTTATGAGAGGGCTCTACAATTCTTGCAAAAGTGTTTTTATTTTAAAATCCCATCTCTGAAGTTCTCGTTTGTTCTTGGGTTTAAATAATTAACCCCTTTTTTCCTTCCTTTTACTTAATTTTAAAAAATGTACATGATTTTTAATATGGTCCCATTTTTTTTTAGTATGGGTTACCCCAATGAAGACAATTATGCAGGGCTAATTGTATTATTACTACTACACTTCAAAGTGACAGCTTGGACTTAGATTGGGGTTTCATTGGGCTGGGCTTCACCAAATACATAATATGGGACATTACCTAACTCGCAGACCTTACAGTTAACTAGACAAGAAGCTGGAAGACAAACAGAGGAGTGAAACACCATGTCTAAGGCAGTAGACATTAATTCTAGTCCTGACTCTAACACTGGCCTTTGACAAGGAGTCTCTGCCTAGAGCCATAGCCATTGTAGAATACTGTCTTTTTGTGATGAGATCCACATTGCTTGCAGTTCCCTTTGGGAACACTGAATCCTAACTTTCACAGGGATGTGGCCACCTCATAGTGAGTATATTGACATCCGTGACACACAAGAGTTAGGAGACTTGGGCATCTTACCAGCTTTGACATTCTGTGCAATTTTAGTTCAATGACCTGGATAAAGCAAGTCACTTTGGCTCTCTTTGTCTGCTTCTTCCTCCTTCCATAAAACTGGGAAAACATTATTTCCATACTTCACAGGGATACTGGGAGGGTTAATTTGCACATTTTAAGTCCTTTAGAAAAATGGAATCAGCTAGAGAAATGCACTATTTAGTTCTTATTAATTTTAAAAGCCAGCTTTCAGTGGTGCAGGGGTTTGGGTTATAGCCGTGTTGGTCTAAGGACATAGGCAGACAAGGTTCCTTGGGTGAATTTGTTATCTTTTAGTCTTTAGCTTTCAGTGGTGTTGTTCATTTCTAGCAATGCAGACATGTTTTTCTAAATGCCAGTTTCCTGAGTCAATAGGACCACTGTAGGAAACTAAACTACAGGCATCTGAAGGCGATGGAGGCTACAGGGAAGGAGATATGAGTTACAGCCCTTGCTAAAAGGTGTGTGTGTGGAGGTGGGGTATACCTCCAAAAAGCTAATTCAAAATTCTCCCTAACATTGCAGAAAAATGCACTGGGAGGTTATTGCAAACCCCCATCTCCTCTTGCTCCTGAACAATACAGAGAACATGTGACCCTGGGGCCAACTCTCTTGGGTATGCTTCATTTCTAAGGAAACAGTTCCACCTTCTGGCCACTGTTGAGAGCTTCCGTTGCAATGAAGACAAACCAGAAAGTAATATACTGTAAAAGATACTTGGAGGATTGGTTGTGGATTTATTGTGAAAAGAAAAATATATTTTGAGTAACGCTCCAGTTCAAATAATTTTGCAATGCATTACAGGAATATTAACGGAGTTGGCCTTATGACTGGCAGTGTACCAAACTGGTACAAGCAGAGTTCAGAGCACAAATTCCTCCTCTCTCCATTTCTGATGCTGGAGTTGGGGTTGGGAAGGCTGGCACTGAGTTGTTCCTTTCTCTTCTGGTCCCAGTGCTAGAATGAAAGATAAGCTAAAGAACTGGCCTGGAATAAAATGTTCCCAGGAGCCATTTGCTTTGCATGCACCAAGTTAAAACATGGCTAAACTCTGAAAAATGGGGCTCATCTATTGCCTGTCATTGGCATCCAATTCAAATGTTTTTTGTAAAGAACTGTTTCCACCCTTTCAACTATGAATGTTTCAAACTCAGCTGCAGCTCAGGAAGTCAAATTGGCTGGTTTGCTGCTTCTACTTCACCACCAGTGATCAGGGTACTTAGTGAAAATCAGATTCTTAGACTAGTTATTCTCTTGACTCCTGAATACACTTCTCCAAGCCACTTCAGCTAAGGCTCACAGTTCCAGCTTTTTAATACCTCAGTCTCAGAGCTGTCAGCTCAAAGTCAGCATAGTGAAAACTGTGCTCATTCATCCTTAATTCTCTCTCCTCTGGAGATTCTCTGTGGGAGGACAACAGAATCCTCTCCGGCCTTAGCTTGCCACATCTCCACCTGGCTTGCCCCAATTCCTCCCCTGTCTGTTCC